AAGGTATGGCTAGTTTAGTTAAAGAAGGACTAGGGGTGATAAGGCAGCAGTATTCCAGTATTTGAGGGGCTGCCACAAAGAAGAAGGGGTCAACTTATTTTTCAAAGCACCACAACAAACAATGGATGGAAACTAACCAAGGAGAGAAGCAACCTGGAATTAAGGAGAAACTTCCTAACAGAGAGGACTATTAACCAGTGGAACAGCTTGCCACCAGAAATCATGGACGCTCCTTCACTGGAGGTTTTTAAGAAGAGACTAGACAGTCACTTGTCTGGAATGGTATAGGTCCTCCTTGAGCAGGGGGCTGGACTAGAGGACCTCCAAGGTCCCTTCCAGCTCCATTCTATTTGTATAGCAGTCCAGACTAAAATATGGTTGTCCAGCTTGCAGTGTACAACAATAGATGGATAGATAGATTAAAATAAAATCAAAGGCAAAGAATCTGCAATGGGCAAGATCAGGACTCATCCCAATTTGAGAACCTTGGATTTCGACACTCAGATTCTTCTTTAGCTATTCCACTGTCATAAACGCTATAAAAACTTCTTGGAACTTTTTCTTTAGGTGACCTTGTTGGAAGAACTGTTTATTCTTTCTATTTACTATTTGTCCAACTTATCTACCCATTAGTGGGCAACGTGAAGGCTACTTTAGATCTTCTGGTTGTGGTTAGACTTGGGTATAAGAATAAAAGCGTTGATGGACCCATGGCAAAAACGCTAGCTCAGAGTCTGAATAAACATTCAGCCTTGTCTTTTGGCTCCTGTAACCAGCTGCAGATGTGCGTCCTTGAAGCTGGAATGCAAGAGCTCGGCAATCTTCAGGCAACCATTTTCTAGTAATAAACAATAGAACAATGCCATAGCAGGAGAGATGTATAATATTCACAGATAAGGGGACTCACAACTTTTTCTTAAAAAAAGAGAGACTTTTTCCCTTTGATAGAAACTACAAAGGATTATTTTTTTGGAGAGGAGGAGGAGATTTTGATTGCTACAAAATTTTATTTTATATCTGAAGGCTGGGCCTTCGGATATGAGAGAAATTTAATTGAGCTTCTCAATCAGAAAGATCAGCGGTTCGAATCCCTAGCATCGCGTAACAGAAATATGGGGATGAGTAACCAATTTGATTGCAGAAAGGTTGGCAATTATATGTCTTTTCTTCTTTTGCCTTTGAGGTTTTGAGGCTGTTGATTTGTTCCTTTTTCTCTTTTTCAGATTCCTAGAGGGGGGGAAAAATGGCTTCAACCAAGATTTTATTTTGCCAATCCATATGGTTGCTTGTAAGGGCTTTTAAGGTGGCTCAGTGGCTAAGATGCTGAGCTTGTCAATCAGCAAGGTCGGCGGTTCGAATCCCTAGCATCGCGTAACAGAGATACCTCCCATTACTCATCCCAGCTTCTGCCAACCTAGCAGTTCGAAAGCACGTAAAAAATGCAGGTAGAAAAATAGGAACCTTTAGTGGGAAGGTAACAGCATTCCGTGCGCCCTTGGCATTTAGCCATGACGGCCGCATGACCACGGAGACGTCTTCGGGCATCGCGGGCTCTGTCGCTTTGAAACGGAGATGAGCACCGCCCCCTAGAGTCGGGAACGACTAGCACATATGTGTGAGGGGAACCTTTCCCTTTCCCTATGATTGTTTTTAACCATTATGAACTGTGTGATGCAGTTTTAATATCAATGTTAGGTATTTTTATTCTAATCCTCCTTCTCAAAGGAGTCTACAGTTGAATGTATATTTCATACACAAACACAACAGGTCCAACAGGGACATATTTTGAAGTCAGCTTTATTCAACCTTTTTATCAATGATCTCGATAATAGGACCAATATGCAGATTTTCAAGTTTGTGGATGACACATTGTGTAGTAGTCCTACCAACATAACAGAAATTGCAGTTTAATCTGGACACGTTGGAAGACTAGGAGGAGAGAATAAAATAGCTTTCAAGAGGGAAAAAATGTAAGGCATGATCCTCAGGGACCTAAAGTTAAAGACCACATTACTTAAAAGCTCCCAAATTTGAGAAACACTGGACTTCTTGATCCTATCCAACTCTACTAAGACGTTCTGATTCAATAAATTAACGTAAGATACAACAATCAAGAATAAAAGACCTATTCAGAGACAATAATAAAAAAGACAAAATGATGAAAACAAAAAGTTTTAAAAAAAGAAACTCAATTATGAACAGTCTTTACCCTACTAATACTTGGGCAATAATCCAGACTTTTAATTATTAATGAAAACAATTGAAGAAGGGGAAGAGCCCCTTGGAAACACCCTTTGTTTTCTAGATTGCCTAATACTTACCTAAAGATACTCAAATTAGTCCTTCACTCAGCATTTAACCACTGGAGTGGGCAATCTCCTTTGCAAGGATTTAAGAGCAAAATGCCTTTGCTGATTTCAAGGTTGCCTAAAAAGATAAGATAATTTTTTAAGGGGCGGACTTCAGCACTCTTCTTCACTTCCTGCAGAGTACAGAGACAGTTGCTCCTGCGGAATCCAGAAGCAACATGAAGGTAGGAATTAGAGAAATGTTGGGTTTGCCTTTTTAATTTCTTTCTGGTTCTCCTCTAGGTATGTTCTCTTTTTAACTGTTTTTCAGATGCATTCGTTCCAGACCCTGCCAGGTTCTTTGTTTCCTATTCCCAGTTTTGCCTGGCTGCATTTTCATTCCCTCTCTCCCCCCCCTTGCAAATTCCAGCATTGTTGCTGGAATTTTATATTTTGGGGGATCAGATTGTTATTCTGCTTTTGTGCCTTAATACTTATAGGAAGGTGGGATCCAGAAAGCTAGGTGGGTTTTCTTGGAAGGGTGGGGGGAGGTAGTGTTTTTGCATCACTTTAGAGTAACTATTATGTCCTCCTTTTTGAATTTTCAAACAACTCCTTAAAATATACTTGCTCGTAAGATTTAATTGGCAGAGTCCCTGGCTTGCCAAGCTTTTGCGTATCAAAACTCAAGTTTTATTTGAACAGAAGCAGCGTAATTTATTTTAAGTTTCTTTTGCAAATAAATGTTCTTTATTCTTTTTGCTTTAATTACACCAAAGTTGATAGGTTTAGAGTTCCTACATGGAATTCATCTGGTTTTATATTCTTGTGAACATTGCCAACCCTTCTTATCTATTACTTTTTGGGGGAAAGATCGAATTATATTTTATTCTTCCATGTATTTGCAAGTTGAATGTAAAAGATCCCAATTTTCTTAACCAATAGATAAAAATAAACAGCTTATTATGTCCTGTATTAAGTGTTAACCGCCATAAAACCTCTCCATAATTTCTTACTGAATTACTCTCCTGTTCTCATAAGGGGTTAACTGAATTTATTTCTTTTGCTTTAGATGTTAGTCATCTCTTTTCTCCCCCATTCTTTTTTTCTTTACTCTGCCCTAGTTAGCAATTATTTCTAAACCTCCCTCTCTGAAAAAAGGAGCTGGTTAACTTTTTATTTACATTCTAACAGAATCCAGGATTTTTTTGTAACAGCTGTTCCATATCCTGGACCTTTCATAGAGTTCTCCTTTGTATTCCCATGTTGGTAATCTCAATTTTGTTATCTCCCACGCTTTCATACTCTGTAAGGCCTATGTCATGTAAAAGTTTTTAAACATTCTTTGCCTTCTCAAAAGTTTATTCGTAGACATTTGCATGCTTTCTGAGATGTTTGTTATTAATATTTCCATCTGTATTTTAGAATAAACTCTAAGGGGGAAAAAAGTTGTAGCCCTTAACTGTTTTAATTCTTTTCGGCTTAATCCTATAGTTCCCTCTAATGTTCACTTGCAACCTTCATCAAGGCTCAGTTGCTAATATGGTTTTTGTTTCAGTTGTTCCCCTTGGGTGTATTATTTAATTATATACTGGCTTTCCAAATCTTACCGCAAAACTAACCCACGCTCCAAATCTCTCTGGTCTAAATTGTGTGTGTGTGCCATCTAAAGGGTTCACAATGGTAGAAACAAGCAAGTTGTAGCTACCTTAGTACACAAAATAATCTGCTACAATGTCCTATCTGTCAATGACTACTTCAGCTTCAATCGCACACAATAGATACAAACTTAAGGTAAACCGTACCAAACTTGATTGCAGAAAATACAACTTGAGCAACGGAGTGGTCAATGCCTGGAATGCACAACCAGACTCTGGTTTCATCCCCAAACCCCCAAAACTTTAACCTTAGACTGTCTACTGCCAACCTCACCCCATTCCTAAGAGGTTTGTAAGGGGGTGTGCATAAGAGCACCAATGTGCTTACCGTCCTTCTCCTACTGTCCCCACGTATTCGTATCCATTTCCTGTATTCATAATCATGTTTATACTTATACCTCTTATCTTATGCATGCTTGACAAACTTCATGCACCATGCTAATTGTGGAAAAAGAAAAGGTGTCTTGACTTATTCCAATTGCCTGGATTTACAGAACACATTAAACCAGGGCTGTCCAAACTTGGGAACTTTTAAGATTTGTAGACTTCAACTCCCAGAATTCCCCAGCCAGCAAACCATAAGCCAACCACGTACATCCCATAAGACTTCAGATTGAAGCTCCAATATGTAATTGTTCTAGTGGACACCGCTGGCTGGGGGATTCTGGGAGTTGAAGTCCCCAAGTCTTAGAAGTTGCCAAGTTTGCACTCCCTTGTTCTAACCCTCAAGGCCGCTCTACTATAGTTAGAGGGGAGGAGGCGCCGGAACTAGAAACACGCGGCCGCCGTTGCCCAGCCGGGCGCTTTTGCGCGCTGCACCGAACCGAAGCCCGGCCGGCTTTTCGTATATGCGTGTATGTTACGTGTGCACCCGCTTTCTTCTTCCCCCGTCATGAAGGCGTCGCTGTCAGAAGCCGAGATGATGGCGGCGGCGGCGGCGCTCGTGTCGTGGTGCACGGGGCAGCTGCGCGGCACTTTTGGCCTGGATGTCAGCGAGGAGATTATCCAGTGAGCATGGGGGGGGATAGTCGGGGGCAAAAGGGAAGCACGGGGCAGAGCCGGCGTCCCCCCACGATGTCACTTTGTCCCGGGCTGCCCTCTAAGCTTTGCCTGTGTGGTCGAAGGGTGGCCTCTCTGGCCTGCTCCTTTGGCCCCTGCAGGCCTTCCTTGAATGCCAGTCGTCAGGCCGAGGGGGTTGCTTTGCCCCTTGGGCAGCACAGCAGGCAGAGGTTGAACAGGTGCGGGGCATGGAAGGAGCCGGCCCAGCCTTTTAACCTAGTGAGGTGACAACCTTGGCCAATTGAGGCTGTGGGGTCTGGGAGGATGACCAGCGGCTTTACTGCAGCGCATGGAAACCCTATTGTGGCTTGTTGGCAGCTCGTGGTGTTGTCGTGTGAATCTAGGCATTGCGAGTGATAATATACAAATTTTGTTGAATAGAATAAAAATAGAAATTAGGAAATAGAATAGAATTGGAATAGGAATAGAATAGAATAATAATATAATAGAACAGAAGAATAGAGAAGAATAGAATAGAATAATAATAGAAGAATAGAATAGAATAGAATACTTCATTGGCCAAGTGTGATTGGGCACACAAGGAATTTGTCTTTGGTGCAGATGCTCTCAGTGTACATAAAAAGACAAGATATATTCATCGAGGATCATTAGGTACAACACAATTATAGTCATAGGGTACAAATNGAAGAGTCATGCCGGCCACATGACCATGGAGAAAGTCTTGGGACAGCGCTGGCTCTTTGGCTTTGAAATGGAGATGAGCACCGCCCCCTAGAGTCAGGAACGACTAGCAAATATGTGCGAGGGGAACATTTACCTTTATCTGTCTTCAAAGGAGTGGCTCGTGTCTTTTAAATGCAGATGGACTGATGCGCTTGTTCTCCCGCGTTCACAGTTGTGCTGGAAGGAACACCACCTGCAGTTTACATCCGTGGCCACTGAGCCTTGCTCTTGCCCTTTCTGTTAAAAGCAGCCCCACCAGCTTCAGCTTTAAGCCAGCAGGTTGCCTTTAATGGCAAACCTGCAGTTGCTTTCCTGAAGAGCGAGGGGAAAAAGCCCGCTGGGCAAATCATTAACAGTGAGAATCTCTGCTGGCTGGACTTGCCTTTTGACAGGAGAACTCCAACTGGGGGATGCTATTTGATAGAAGGGCTCGGATTGAGCTGGATTGAGAAAAAGAAAATGTTTCTCTCTGACAGCCGCAGGCTTCTTATGCGGCCCATTATAGGTAAAATCTACTGCACTGTGATTAATTTTAATCTGGGTACGCACAAATAAACAGTTGGTAGTTAAGGCACCAAGTTAGAAACTAGGAGGCAGTGAGTTCTAAGTGCCGCCTTAGGCATGAAAACCAGCTGGGCGACTTTGGGCCGGTCCGTCTCTCTCTCTCTCTCTCTCAGCCCAGCCCACCTCACAGGGTTGTGATGGGGGGAAATAGGAGAAGGAAGGAGTATTGTGTGTGTTCATCCCTTTGAATTATTTATAATAATAAGGGCCAGATATCAATAAATAGGTTCATCATGAAAAGCTGTGTCATGACCCCGTCGGAGCCTGAATCCGAGGGGGAAGATGAACAGATGACAGGGAGCGGGAGAGTGGCTCCGTTGGCTGTGGAGGAAACTGGGGAAGGGCAAAGTCAGGCTGGGCAGAGCAGTGGAGGGGTAGAACAAGAGAGAGGGGGTTCAGATGAAGACCAAGGCCCAGCCCCTCCTCATCCTAGGGCGCACAGGGAAGAATGGAGAAGAGAGCAACATGGGTTGCGTGGCTTACGAGAGAGGAAAGGGTCCTGATTCCCTTCACAAGGCACACCTGGGGATGGAGTTTAAAGGAGAGGCAAATGGGAGGGGCTGTTGTCGGGAACAAATGCTCAGTTCATCTGGTGTGAATTGCTTATCTGAGTTCCTGGCATCCTCCCAACTGGTTTGATTTACTGCCGTGATACTTCACTTCTTCCTCGTCCTGCCTGTCGGATTAATTACCTTATTGTGCCTTGTTGGATTTATAGTCAGAAGTTTTCTGCTTACAGCATTTGGACTGGAGTATTTTCAGCCAAAGGCTGTTACAGGTTTGTGGAAGAGCTTTTCTCCACGCCAGAGAGTTGAAAGGGACGTTGGGGGCATAGTTGGTGTTAATAAAGGGACTCATCCCGGTTCTCTGGCTGTGTTGCCTTTGTACCATGCCCCGGATCATTATAATTGGAGAGCCCTCATGTATCAGAGATGTATTCGAAGTACCCATGGTCTATTAAAAGAACTCCCACTTTACATCGTGAAGAGGGTCCCAATTTCCATTTCATTTAAAGGGGTCAAGTAACAAATGATTGGAAACACCCCTGGGGCGATGCTGACCTTCAGAAGACTGTAGAGGCCTCTGGACCAATAGTCTGGCTCAGGAGTCTCCAACCTTAGCAACTTTTAAGACTTGTGTAGGAGTTGAACTCCACAAGTTGAAGTCCACAAGTCTTAAAGGTTGCCAAGGTTGGAGACCCCTGGTCTGGATTGATATCAGATGGCTTCCCGGATGCCGACACAGTGATGTACTGTCGTAATGGTGCTGCCTTGCCCGCCTTCCACAGTGTGCGGCGAACTCAAGTGATCGACGACGAGTCTGATTACTTTGCTACCGACTCCAACCAGTGGCTGTCCAAGCAGGAGAGGCAGGTGCTGGAGAAGAGGGCGAAGGAGCTGTACGAACTGCGGCACGCCTCGCGGCTGTCCAAGAAAATCACCATCGACTTCGCCGGTCGGCAGATCCGGGAAGAAAACGACAACATGGCGGACTATCACAGCAAGTGAGGATCCCGGAACGGTGGGGAGGTGGGAGTGGTCGACTCAAGATCACGCTTGGGACAGGCAAGTCCTTCTGGAAACGGTGGGTCAGAGGTGGTATTCAGCAGGTTGTGACCAGTTCTGGGGAACCGGTAGCAGAAATTTTGAGTGGGTGGTCAATACCACCTCTGACTGGCCCCGCCCTCATCTATTCTCTGCCTTCCGAGTCCCAGCTGATCGGGAGGGAATGGGGATTTTGCAGTATCCTTCTCCTGGAGTGGGGAGGGAATGGAGATTTTGCAGTATCCTTCCCCTGGAGTGGGGAGGGAATGGGGATTTTGCAGTATCCTTCCCCTGGAGTGGGGAGGGANAAACAATATCAATATAAATCATAAGGATACAAGCAACCAAGTTACAGTCCTGCAGTCATAAGTGGGAGGAGATGGGTGATAGGAATGATGGGAAGACTCATAGTCATAGTAATGCAGCCTTAGTGAATAGTTTGACAGTGTTGTGGGAATTATTTGTTTAGCAGAGTGATGGCATTCGAGGGAAAAAAACTTCTCGTGTCTAGTTACATACAAATATTAAATTAAAAAACAAAACGGAGTATGTATTGTTTCTAAAATGCTTCGCATAAATGCGTGCAACTGGAAAAAATTGTAAAGCTGTCTTCAAAAACAGGTAATGGGTAACAAGCTAAAAAATATCAGGCGGGTGAAATCACAAGCCCAATAAGCGAGATGCCCGCTGTAACAACAAGCAGGGGAACAAGAACAGTCAAGCTTATGCGAAGAAAAGTGGGTTACACAGTTAAAACTGAAAATGTTGCTAGAACAGGGGTTATTTGGGGGGGGGAGTGTAAACTAAATGCTTCAACAGGATGCTATGCTAACAAGGGGGTGGTGAGTCTAAGTAAGGGGATATAAACTGACCTTCCTGCTTTGTTCTCTGTCCACTTTCTCTGTGCACCTGTGTTTGCAAATACGTTAATAAGTTTCTTTGCTGCTTTTAAGTTATTGTCTCAGGTAGTTCCATATGCGAATGTGCACTGTTTCTAACACAAGGAAATGTAACAATGATCATTACAATGAGATCCTGGTAACAAAGTCGGGGCCAGTATTTTTCAACCTTGAATTTCCCAAATTGTATTTTCATAGTTACCTAGACATAACCCACTTTATATTTTTAGATATATTTTGTCTATTGATGACGAGGAAGAGATTCGTGAGTATGTCGCGGATTTAATCCAAGGGAGAGATGGCCAGAAGAAGTGCTTCATAGATGAGCTTGTAGCCAAGTGGAAACAGTCCCGTTCTACAACTTTGGATCCTTTGCCGCTGTATCAGAAAAAGGATGGTAAGTGGGGAGCAGAAAAGGAGATACACATTCGTTCAGGGATAAAGAGGAGTTTAGCAAATCATTGTTAAATTAATCCCAATCAGTAGCAAACGTCAGCCCTTTGCTACCATCTATCATGGTCTGAATTCTTGTAGGCCTGGTTTGATGTTGTTGTTGTTGTTAGTTGCAAAATCGTGTCTGGCCCATCGTGACCCCATGGATAAAGTTCCTCCAGGACATCCTGTCCTCCACCATCCCCCAGAGTCCATTCAAGTTCACTCCTATTGCTTCGGTGACTCCATCCAGCCACCTCATTCTCTGTCGTCCCTTTCTTCATTTGCCCTCAATCTTTGCCTCAATCTTTGCCCACAAGCCTAAGAGCATTTGGCTCTTCTCCAGTGAGTCCTTCTCATTAGGTGGCCAAAGTATTTGAGATTCATCTTCAGGATCTGGCCTTCTAAAGAGCAGTCAGGGTTGATCTCCTCTAAGACTGACCGGTTTGATCGCTTTGCAGTCCAAGGGACTCGTAGGATTCTTCCTCAGCATCATAGTTCAAAGGTCTCCAATCTTTGGCGCTCAGCCTTCCTTATAGTCCAACCTTCACAGCCATCCATTGCAACTGGGAAAACTATAGTCTTGACTATACTTACTTTTGTTGGCAGGGTGATGTCTCTGCTTTTTAGTATGTTGTCTAGGTATGCCATAGCTTTCCTCCCCAGGAGCAAGTGTCTTAATTTCTTGGCTGCAGTCTCCATCTGCGATGATCTTGGAGTCCAGGAAAATAAAACCTATCACTACCTCCGTTTCTTCATTTCTGGTTTGATAGAGCTGCCTAAATGTATTGTAGCTCAAATATTGCCCTCCGCAGTTTGCTGAATTATAGCAGTCAACATTTCTTACAATGAAGGCTGTTAGTTGAGTCACCTCATCTCATCTTCAGAACTGGAAATTGGCATGAAGGTCTACAGGGGATCCCCAAAGATAAATTAATCCCAATCAACCTCTCATCATTTCTTCAGCATCTATTGACCCCCAGACACTGATCCCCCTTTTGAACACCAGAGATTTATCAATCCTTTGGACTGTCCAATTGATCCTTGGGGGGAAGTGTTGATATGGAGCACTTTGGGGAGCCAAGATGAGGAAAAAAATCTGGAGCCAAACCAGCATCTGCTACATTTCTCCTGTTCTTTTTAGATATTTCGGATACTCCTCGGCCAGGAGACCAGACAAAGAGAGGAAGGCATAAAGGGAGAAATAAACAGGAAACACCTATTTATGTTGAAACCTGCCAGCTTGTAGAGAAAGCAAAAACACCACTCGATTTAGCCAAGGTAGGTGCATTTGGAGTCTATGGTTTTTAAAACACATTCATTTTGGAGTAGTACCTTTTTATGCCATTGATTATAATTATTCCTCTCTGTGCGTTTCAAGGGGCCTCTGCTCTTCATGGTGAATAATAAGGCCTTATCTTAATCCAAATATCACAAAACCCTGGATAGAGGAGCAGTTAAAATTGATTTTTAATAAATATAGAATAATGAGCCGTGGTGGCGCAATGGTCAGAGTGCAGTACTGCAGGCCACTTCTGCTGACTGCCGGCTGCCTGCAAATTTGGTAGATCGCATCCCCCACCAGGCTCAAGGTTGACTCAGCCTTCCATCCTTCCAAGGAGGGGAAAATGAGGACCCAGATTGTTGTGGGGGCAATAGGCTGACTCTGTAAACTGCTTAGAGAGGGCTGTGAAGTGGTACGTAAGTCTAAGTGCTATTGCTAAGTGCTAATTTAATGTTTACCCATTATTTTTCAGTGAAAATAATATCTTTCAGGGAAATGGGGAACTAATTTCAGTTCAGGAAGTTCTATCTATCGATCTGTCTGTCTGTCTGTCTGTCTGTCTGTCTGTCTATATCTATCTATCTATCTATCTATCTATCTATTTATATCTATCTATCTCTATCTATCTATCTATCTATCTATCTATCTATCTATCTATCTATCTATCTATCTATCTATCT